GTGCGCTCCACCTTGCTGCGCGCGTCGCGCGACACGCCGGCGCGGAGCAGCACGGCGCACGTGCCCGCGTGCGCGCCGCCCGCCGCCAGGTGCAGCGCCGACGTGCCCAGCTGTAGCACGCCACTTGTAGCGCTCGCAAGGGGGAGCCGCGAGGGAGCCGCGAGCCAGCCCGCTTCCCGCACTTACCCAGTCGGTGGTGAAGGGCGCGCCCTTGGCCATGAGGTCGAGCACGAGCTGCGTGTCGCCGGCGCGCGCGGCCACCAGCAGACGGCGGCCGAGCTCCACGGCGGCGGAGGAGGCCGCCACGCGCGCCCCCGCGCCCCCGGCCCCGCCGGCCACCAGCGTCTGCGACTGATACGTTCTTCATGAAAATATACATATTGCCTAATACCAATTTTGTAGAAAGGGCCACAAGAATCTATTTGCTTTAACTCGAATATAACTCTCAAACACTTTATTCTGCATTATAAATGTTTGATCAATCTCTAGACACCGACCCCACAAAATATTTAACACCATATCGCCAAATGGAAGAAATGTAGCCGTAGACCTCAGGGATAATTTTGTAGGAAATTAGTTGTAATATCACCTCCCGAGAGGAATACGTCGAGTTACAAGTCACCCTGTATATAAATCTGTTCATTCTCAAACATCATGGAAGTACATGTTCTTGAAAGAACAAAAGTCCAAAGTATTCCCCAGAAATTTAATCGAGTCAGTTTCCATCAGAGCATACATTACATTACGATCAAAAGGTTTACTCATGTAAGTATGGAATTGTACGAATTTTGTTTTATTAATTGTTGTTTGGAGAGCATCGTTTATTTCTTGCTCGTGCGTATTTTTATTCTTGTTCTTAATGACTACTGTGGATCCGCGAATACATTTATGATTTAAAATATTTGGCAAGTCGTATATATATAGAGCAAAAACAACACCGGGCCCAAAATTCTGCCCTGCGGTACCCCAAATAAGGTAAGGTTCAAGCTTTATTAATATTTCGGTGGGTTCAAGTGTTTTTGTGTTTTCATTATGACTGGCGGTGATCACAAATGTCACGGTTGATCACATGTGTTTTATGGAATTGGATAATTTTTCCAAAATGTTTCCTTTAACTCGAAATACCTACCTTTTTTGTTTGTAGGTCGATTAAATCTTTATACATCTTTGTTTAATACATATGGTTTACAAGTTTCCAAAGTAACATTTTTTATTGATAGGTACGTCAGGAATTTTCCCCACGGGAAAACGGGTTGCTACTTTTAGGTACACGTTGTTATTACGGGAACAGCATACAACGATACAACCAGTTATTATAAGAAGTCTTCTTCAAAAACCAAGAACTAAAAACAAACAAATCGTAATAAGTAAAAGGCAAAAAGTAAGTATTTATCAGTAATACATGTACCGATCCACTGATGGATTTCTTACTCATCAGTGGGTCGGTACCCCAAACTCTCTATTCTTGTAAGGTAAGAATTCTATCCTACCCACATTATTTTGGGCTCGCTGCTATTGCAGCGGTAAGTCCCCTCTTTGAGGAGTGGCTTGAGAGACGCTACGACGTCCTCGCCTACCGCCTGACGCAGGTCCTCACCGGACATGGGAGTTTCGGGAGGTACCTGTGTCTGATGGGGCGGGAGGAAACGCCCGTTGTCATCACTGCAGGACCGCCCTGAGGACACGGTGGAACACACAGTAGCGGAATGCCCTGCGTGAGCTGAGCACCGCCGTGCCCTCAGAGACGTGACCGGCGATGGCGACCTCTCGCGTCCGTGCCTAGTGCGGGCCATGATGCGGAGCGAGGGGGACTGGGATGCCGTCTCCTTCTTTTGCGAAGCAGTCATGATAGCTAAGGAGGAGGCGGGACGCGTGAGGCAGCGAAGCGCTGCCTCCCAGCAACCCAGCCATCGCGAAGGACACTCCGGGCGTCGGGGATCGCGGGACGATCTCCGGCCACCGTAAGCGCGGGCCTGCGGACGACGAGCATGGGTGGCTCTCCGCCTGACCAGAAAACACCCGAGCGAACGGCGCGTCGCGTTCCACGCGCGCCTTAAGGAGCCATCAGATCACCACGGATCGGGCCCAATAGGGCTGATGCCGAATCAGAGTCGCGGAGAACATAACGGGTTACCGGGGCTCCGGTTCGACGTGCAGAAGAAGGATTTTAGTCAGTAAGAGTCTGACACTTCCTCCCGTCTCACCCAGGCGGGAGCAGTCATTCGATTATTTTCCCCCCTTAAAACAAACCCACATTATTTATAAAAGGTTACAATTTTAAGGTCAAATTAATACAGTATGATAAAAACACCATAAAAAAATCAAAATAAATAAATTATTATCCATTGAACTCAGTAGGTATACCTAGTCCCACCTATGACACCTACTGAAGTCAGTGTCCCAAGTCCTAAACAAAACTTATTTATTAAAAATTAGGCAGCTGTATCCATTATGAGTATTGGGTGAGTAATATTTTATTATGTATCAACAATAGCAATTTGAATCATTCAAGTGTTACTACGTTCCATTAACCTTGTATGTAAGGTCTGTACATTGAGACAATGCATAAAGTTAAAGGAAGTTAAACTGTCAAATACCAAGCGGTCACCGGTGACCGCAACCTATTGTTCTATAATTGTGTCTGCAAAACCGGTACTCGACGAGTTAAATGAAAATTATAAGAGCCCCTCAGCGACTTCCATTTTAGTCAACAAGTCTGTCAACAATAAATTTAAATTCAGCATAAAGAAATAAAAACAAGTAATTACCTTACAGTCATAGTCTGAATCAATAGAAGTTTCACGAATAAATTTAAAACTCACAGTAATTATCTGCGGGGTTGTAATGCGCACAACCACATCATCTGCACACAGGCCTGAGGTCATTGTGGAACATCTGGAAATATTTTATTCTATAATTACTACATACAACACAGCAGTTACTTAAAATGCAAACTTGTACATTAAACAGAGAATATTCATTTTTGCCTTTGAAGTGTAACATTTCTAAAATACATGTTAGTACTTTACTATCATCAAATTATTAGAATTTTATGGCCAATTTTATATTGTATACATCTAATAACTTATGTGTGAGGCAGATGAGGCAGATGCCTAAGATGAACATCATCAATATTCATTAAAACTACCAAGAATAAAATAGTGTGGGTCGACTATTTTGTTGTTCGACCAAGTAGCAGTAGAAACTATTATTAAAAATGGTTCAGAACATCTCTGCTTTTGTCAGGTACCTATTATATTTTAATACATAGGTATGTCTAATATGTTCTTTACGAAAAATGGCGTTTCATCAGCATGCTAATAATTGTTGACCATTTTACCGTTTGCGGTTTTCAAATCTCAATCTCAATAATATTGATCGAAATTTAACAGGATATGAGGATATGGATGTCAGTTTGTCAAGCACGTATCAAACCATGCTACGGCCGCCATAAAATACACTTCCTTTTCCTGTTACAACGGAAGTGCTTAACTGTCTCTGCGCAGTAATATAACAAGATAATGCTTATTTTGGGCGACTTACCTACGCTGTATCGTCTGCGATACTTATAAGTAATTGACTGAATCCCTCTTGAATATATTTTAAGGCAAAAGTGTAAACGTCAACAGAATTCTATACGCTGTACGGTTCTATGAAAGATTCAACGTTTGGCGACCGCGAAAATAAACGTCAAAGTATCTGGACAAAGAAGTAACATTGTTGTGTCGTATAAATAATCATGGGCTAACCAATTAAAATCTTTTACATAATGCTCGAAAATTCAAGTAATTGTTTACAATAATAATGTAAAAACCTTTAATAATGTAGTGATTTTTAGGTTATGTTTTCGATTATTATGTTGGTATTGAATATTACATTTGTACCATAGAGAATAATAGACAGACTTCTTTAAGGGTATGTTCCGATGTACACTGAGTGCGGCACTCCGCATTAGTCTTACTGATAAAATATTAATTTTGTTATGGACTGCTAATCATGGAAAAAATAAGTACTACATTCCCACTGCTATATATGATGTCATAAATTGTCGTCATATTTGTATCGTGGGCACTAGGCATTTGAGATTTTGAGGTAAGATGCTCGCAGTGCTTTTAATCACGTTTTATGTCGAAACTATAAAGTATTGCGAGTTCAATAAAAAATAATAATGAAGTGATATTTTCCGTTGATAAAAGGAAAGCTTTGTATTTGTTTATTTAAATTCACATTGCATTAAAAAAGGACAATGCTAAAAAATCTATTGTGCAAAATTCCAAAATTCATACTTTTCTGTTATCTCAGTGTATGTCGGAACTTACCCTTAATTGTTATTGTGAGAAGAAAACTGACTGGGTCTATGGTATTATAATCATTATAGTTCTCTCTGAATGCAATTTGAGAAATATCCACCCACTCCAGATATATATCATAAAGTTTTTTTTTGGAGAAAATCCGTAGTTTCATGTTATTCAAAATATATTTTTTATTTTATATTTCATGCTATACAAAAAAGTAACAAAAATGGGTACTTGGTGATTTGCATGGGTGATTTGAAAAAAACTGTTCTAAGAAATTAATGAAAATTTAAATTTACCAATGACGTTGAAAAAAGGCGTACATCATGCGTACATAGTCTATTGAAACAAAAACAATTACATTTACATGCAAACACAAATAATGACTGGCGATGCAAAGATTATCCGCGCGCCTCTAGCGGCGAAATTTAGAAGTGGTCTAAGAACGACACTTTGATTTCGAGTTGAGGTTATTAAGTTTAACTTTAAGCATAATCAAATGGATCACGATTACATACAGAAACGTATTTGTAATAAAAGCGGGAACATAAAATGTTGTTGCGTTCCTCAATGTAACACTTACGGAGATTCGGGAATAAGTT